ATCATTTTTCACATGATCCTTGCAGAATCCCCAGGGTCACATTATCAAAATTCAGATGCTTGGCAGCTGGCATGTATTTATGATGGTTGCACTGCCCAGGGCTCATGTGATTACCTTCTGAGTCATAAAGTGAGGCACAACTTACTTAGCTGTGTTGCTTAGCAGTGGAAATTTTGAGCTCAATTGTGGTTGTAAGTCAAGGACTACCTGTAGTTGCTTCCCCCACTGTGTACTAAGGGATGGGCCAATCCAAGGAGTATCTCAGATGATAAAGGTGCCCAGAGTTCCTTTGGTTTGTGAGATGGGCAGCATATAAATTCAATAAATACATAAATATAATAAATATATGTTGCAAGGTAAGCAACTCCTTCCATTCCAATGCTGAGCTGACCCTGAGGATAAACTACTCAGGCAGGGTGAGAAAACTTCAAACTTTGCAATCCTTGGATTTGTTGGTTTTTGTTTACTTCTTCCCATTCATCCTGGAGCCTTTTCTGTTCCCATACCAGACTCCAGACGTTTTAGGCTCAAGCGTTAATGTTTTATCTCTATTTGGCTTTCAACATTGAATTGTACTTAACGTTTTTTTAAAGAAATGCCATGTTGCAACATAGGGCAGAGAACGTATAGTAAAACAGAAAAAATGTGGGGCACAAAAAAGCCCTGTCTTTATAATAAGGAAAAATATTTCCTTCATGAATGACTCATACTATAATATAGTTAATCCCTCCCCAATGTTCATTTCTGGCCTACTCCAGCACATTTAATATGTATTTATCTTGTGCTGATATTTAACCCAGTTTTTTTTTTTAAGTGTACAGAGAAATTGTATTTTAGCTGTACCTCTTAGTACAGTTGCTACAATTTCCCTGGCACTAAAGGTACACATAGTGATTTCTTCCCGACTGCATTTGATTTAACCTTCAAGGGAAACATTCTCATTCCATTGCTAACAATATCCATCTGTTCAGAACATCTTATTTTCCCTCTGTTGAAGCTTACACTGGATTACACTGCAAACGGAAAGCATCCAAGTACTGTACCTTTCCATTCTGTTCCTAGTAAAGGAAAACATCTGTTAATAAACAAGGGCTAGAACAGGTACAGCCTTGAGAGACATGTCTCTGATGCATGAATTCTCAGGCTGATTCCAATGTTTCAAAGCTATTGAAGCATCGTGGTGTTCAAAACTTGTGACAAAGTAGGACATGGTCTGGAACATTTTGTACATTACATTAGGAGAATATTGTGCAAACTTTTCTCATTTCAGGCCAAGAAAGAACTGTTCTCTCCTCCATGTTCCCCAATAAATTTCAGAATGATTGCTCATTATTTTTTATCAGAAAAACTCGTTTTCAAAGAGTTTGCAGATTTGTTCCTGAAAAAAAAAATCAAATCTTAAGATTATTTTTGTGGTTGCATGGAATCATACCAGTCTATTTAAGCCATCAAGTCATATCCAATGCTAAAGGCAGAAATCCAAATTAAAGCACTTTAGTGGATGATTGTCTATTTCTCACTTTAAGTCATTGGCTGAAGCAGACCCTACCAGTTCTTTTGGCAACCGGTTCCACTGAGAAGCTGCTCATATAACAGGGACATTTTTATAAAGTTTAATTAGAATATGTCTTTCTAAATACTAAAATTTGGTGTCCATGATTGCATGCCATACTTGAAATGGAAGACTAATCATCGCAGAAAAAAGCAGGTTTTTTTGTCCTGCGATGTGATCAATGTATTTGCTAACTTAGTTGTTTTTTTCTTACTACTGAAAGTTTATGCCTTTCCATAATTTTTTTCTACAAAAGTTGCTTCCTCTTCTGATTTTGTGGACTATTGATTAACAGAGTTCTCTGTCTTCAGTATCAAAGAGAACATAAAGGACTGGATACACCTTTCATATCTGTAATGGAATGAGTGGATGACCTTGGGGAAAGAAAGGAAGAGACAACTAGAGAAGAGAGGCTGGAGCTCTCTTAGAAAGTTAGGAAATGACCTGCCTAATGGATAAAGCAGTTAAAAAGCGGTGGCGGAAAAAAAAGTAGAATTAGTAGAATTAGCTCATCTAGTTCTGCCTCCTGTCTGGTTTACCTGGGCTGACAATAACCTTGGTATACAGTTCAGATTCTGACCCTGGACATTTAAATACAAAGTAAATAGGGGTTTCCTTATCACGTTTCTAGGAATCTCAAGGTTTTGGGGGGAGAAAATTAAGAATTAAGCAACTCTAGCTTTTTTTCATCAAGCATTAGCCACATTGATAATTTTCCATTAATATGTATTAATACATATGTAAAGAAATCCTCTGTTGTTGTTAGTATTTTTCTGGTAAGCAAGCTCATAAGATGATATGCAGGTGGTCTCAAATCACTGAACTTACATAGAGATATAAAATATTGGACTTAAGCACCTCCAGACTAAATAAAATTAATATAGCTTCTGCCTCAAATATTTACTTTTTCTTAATTTCTTAAAGTCTAAAAAGTTAATTTCTTAAAGTTAAACTTTTTCTTTAAAGTTTCTTAAAGTTAAAAGGAATCCTAAAATGAACTCCTTAAGCTTCTTTTCCCTGGACCTACTTGAACTTGAGATAATTGCAGTTTGTTCTTTTCTATTGGGGAAATGACACTTCCTGCTTGCCAGCTTAGGAGTAACAAGTTCTTTCTGTTTCTTTAGCGTTCTAGTATTTTTGGAAGAACAAATCTTTTTTATTGTACTTAAACAGAAAGATGCCTGGGGAATCTTCTTTGCCTTTGTAGCAGAAGTCATAGAACAGGGCTCTTCAAACTTGACAGCTTTAAGACTTGTGGACTTTCAACTCCCAGAATTCTTCTTCATGTTAGCTCAGGAATTGGGGGAATTGAAGTCCACCTGAGCTCATTCTGAATTTCAACTTTTGACTTTCAACTCTACATATCCAGGATAACTCATGGTGACTTGGCACATTTCTTACCTCCAGTATAGGTCCTTCTTGTCTTCATCATTACAATTGTTTGCAATTGTGGTTCTAGGGACTTTCTTTCCTACTGAGTGCCTCCGGATATATGTCCATTTTTTAATATAAAACATTTCTAGTCATTATAGAGATCACTCAGGCTTGAGAAAGCAATGGCTTTTTTTAAAAAAAGTGGATATTCGGTTTGATTCTAAAGTCCCTCTATTTTTCCATGTTGCCCATTGAACCATTAGTTTTGACTAGACAACCAATCATGTATTTATCACTTGCCATGTTCGAAATCGGACTGCCTATAAATTCCACTATTTACAGATTTATTTGCATAGCTAACCCCTTCAGTATAGCAATTCCTCAAATGACCAAATCTCATTCTCTGAGAGTTATCCTTACACATCTAATCAAAGGCATCTTGCAACATCTCAGGATCACAACAAGGCTGGGGAGTTAAAAGATAACAGATAATCAGAGTTGGAAGGGACCTTGTAGGTCATCTAGTCCAGGGGTCGCCAACCTTTTGGACCTCAGGGACCACCAAACTCATAATTTTAAACCCCAGGGGCCACTAACCGGTTCTGTGGGTGTGGCCTAATTTGTGGGTGTGGCTTGGTGGTCATGTGACTGGTTGGGCATGGCTTGTATGTAAATATTATATTTTTATAAATACTGATTTTTTTTTAAATAAAAGAGCAACTTTTACCCAAAATCAGGCAAAGCAGGCAGGCAGGCAGATTGAGTTGCTCACAGAATCAGAGATTCAGAGATCTATCTGCCATCGGCTAGCTCAGTCTGTCACATAAAATTTGCTTGCAAGCAAACTCACAAAATTAACTCACAACATACCATGTATGTAAATATTGAATTTTTTTATATAAAAAAGCAACTTTTACCCAAAATCAGGCAAATCAGGCAGGCAGATTGAGTTGCTCACAGAATCATTCAGTATCTATCTGCCATCAGCTAGCTCAGTCTCTCAAATTTGCTTGCCATGTGTCTGCACTGAATAACAGAACCTTCAGTCCTAAGAGAGGTTTGGCTGTGCTTAAAAGCAGAGCCAAAGATCTAAAGACGAGCTAGAAAGCAAGAAATCCAACCATTTCCTGCTTCCTAAGCTAATCTAAATCTCCCAGCACAGCACAACAGCTGATGGCCGGAAAAAGGAAAAATACAAATTTAGCAGGCAAGTTTGCCAGGTAAGGAGTGAGTGGGTGGGGAGGGTTCCCATGGGCCATGTGGGCAGTGCAGCCTTTTGTTTCTGCGCAGCCTAGATTAATTGCTTTGGGGGGGGTGCTCTGGGGGTGAGATTTTTCTGCGGCCCACCAAAATTTTCTCACAGCCCACCAGTGGGCCGTGGCCCACCGGTTGGCGACCGCTGATCTAGTCCACTCCATCTAGCCCAAGCGGGAGACCCTACACCATTTCTGGCAGATGGGAGTCCAATCTCTTCTTGAAAGTCTCAACTGATGGTGCTCCCACAATTTCCGGGGGCAAGCTGTTCCATTGGTTGATTGTTCTGACTGTCAGAAAGTTTCTCCTTATTTCCAGGTTAAATCTCTCCTTGTTCAGTTTCCATCCATTATTCCTTGTCTGGCCCTACAGGCGCCTTAGAAAGTAGCCTGACACCTTCCTCCCTGTGGCAGCCCCTCAAATATTGGAAGACCGCTATCGTGTCTCCCCTGGTCCTTCTCTTCACCAGACTAGCCAAGCCCAGTTCCTGCAACCGATCGTTGTACGGTTCCGTGTTTGGCGAAGCTTAGGAAGGGGGAGAGGGCTCGGAGCCCGTGGCCGAGTAAGCTTCGCTTCTATCCATTTTAGGCGATCTCTGGCCTATCGAGACGGCTCCCCTTTCTTAAAAGATTTAAGCGCCCAGCCTTCCTTCCGAGCCCCGCTTTCTTTCTGAAGCCACCTGAGAAACGGGCCGTTTTGCTTCCTCCTCCCATGGGCGGGGCGGGGGGAGGGGCCTGTAAGCGCCTCTCCGCTCTCTATGGCGACGTAGCGCGCGTGCGCGCGTCGGCTGCGGCTTGCTAACAGCTTCCCGCTCGGCTGGGAAGCACTGTGCGGAAGCGGTGGCGGCTGTTCTTTTCACCACCACCCCTCCCTCCCTCCCTCCCTCCCTCCGGAAACCAGTGAGAGCAGGAAAGGCGAGAACCCGAAGAGCGAGCGAGCGAGCGAGCCAGCGAAAGAAACCGAGCTTGCAAGCCTCACTGAAGGCCGAGCTCGGCAGTGGCGGGCGCGCGGGGAGCAGGACAGCAGCAGCGGCGGCTCCTCTTCCTCCTCCCGGGGAGGGAACAGAGCCGAGGGAAACTTGGAGCCGTTTTCTCGAGAGCTTTGGGAGGAAGCCTCCGCCGACACCCCCCCAAACCCCGGGTGAGTTAAGTTCCCCGGGCGCCCGTTTTTTCCCCAAGTCTGTGCAGACTCGCCCACCGTTGCAGGAGGAGCGGGTGCGGGACGGCCGGTTGAAGATGCCAGTTTTTGCAAAAGGCAAAAAAAGTTCCCGGGGGGGCTTTTGGGGGTTTTTCCCCGAACCACCTCAATGGGAGAAAAAATCTGTTGGGAATTTTTGGTGTTCTCCGAGGTTTTATTACCTATTTATTACCGGGTAAATAATTTCTCTCTGTGTGTGGTTATTTTTATTTATTTATTTTTAAGGCAAACGAGGAGGAAAAGGGCGGGGAAGTTGCCGGTCGTTCGTGCTTGTTGTTGGCATTTTATTCTAAGGGGGGAGAGAGAGAGAGATCGGCTTGGGGTTTTTTGTCTTAATTCATCGAACCGCCTACCCCTCAAAAATCCCCCTAGCCTCGGGTAGAAGCGAAACCGAAAGACGGCCTCTAAGGTGTCGGAATAAGCCGGGGATAAATTGGATAGAAGCTCCTGGGGTGTCCTTTTCGTCCGCCTTTTTTTTAAAAAAAGCCGACCATTTTCTTATTAGAGGCTGTCAAAGCCTTTCTCTCTCTCTCTCTCTCTTAACCCCAAGGATGTTGCTGTTTTTAAATAATGCCCTCCTAAGATATAGCATGCATTTATAAATATTTAAAACTTTGGGGTGAACTGTCCCAGACTTTAGGAAGATTCTTCCCCCCCCCAAAGATCATTTGTGTGACTTGATTCTGGCCTTTGTACTCCCCCCCCCTTTTCTGCTTATAAAGCTGATATTCTAGAAATGAGTCCTCTTAAAAGGAGACAAAGGTCTTGTGGCTTCTGAGTGGGGGAAGAAAAGAGGGGGTGAGAACGTCTTTTGCTCAGAATGATTGGAAAGAAGTTGTGGTTTGCAGCCCAATCTGGCTGCACTCACACACCACCATAACAGGCTCTTGGCATAAGTCAGGAAACCACGATATTTGGCTTTGCACTTCATGAGAATCTAGCCAGAATTGACGTTTTTTGGTAGCACCAACTTCAGGAAACTGATGTTTATCACTGTTTCTTTTGGCTTGATCTGATAGACTTCTTTGGTTACTCCTCCTTTTCATACTGTTGATTTGCAACTCTAGGAAGGTATTAGTAGTTTGTGGGTAATGATCACAGATTATGTTGGGGATTTAGTAGTCCAGTTTTTTTTTAAAGGATTATACATCTACAGAAGAACAGCTGGTTCACAAACAGCAAAATGAAGTGTGAATGGGTAACTCCATATTTTAAAAAAATTAAAAGCAAGATAGAGGGATTTTCTGGTAAGGGAACACTCAGGCCTGTTTATAGCTGTGAAGAGAGAAAATATCTTCTTTCCATAGATTTCCATATATGATTTTAAGTTGGAAAGGACACAGAACTAACCGTCTTACCTAGCAGATGATTCAGATTCATTGTTATCAGATTGGCTGCCCACTGTGTTGTAAGTTGCTATCCTCCATAAGCTTATCAGTACAACATATATATATGATATGTATTAGGGAAAATGTTTTATATCTTCTTGACTTTAACATGATTATGGAATGATCTGGGATTTAAATAATAGTTATATTACATCTTGGACACTTAAAGTTCATCTGGGCAGAAGAATGTGAGTCCAGACTTCAACTAAATGAGGTTTTTTTTCCCCTAGAGATGGCATTCTAATATTGAGTGGTGTTGCTTTGTTATAGGAAACAATAAAATATTCAGATGAACATATTTTTTCTTATCTATATCAAGCACACTGTTTAGGACTTTGACTATGTAAATATGTATTGCATATTTATATATACAAATACCTGCCAAAGATCATTGGAGTGTGAGACAAGTGAAGCAGCCATAACCCAAAGATGAAGCACCTAAGCAGAGAGGACTAAGTCAATTTTCTCAAAAAGTTCTCTTGGAGAGGAAACATAAGGAGGAAATCTCTAAGGATCAAAGAAGAAGGGTCATCTGAAGAAGACAAAGACCCAACACGACAGAAACATTCAATCCCATATATCAGGCTCGCAGACTGGATAAGTCACTTCTGGTTTAGCAAAGGGGGGGGGGAGTTGTGATACATTAGGTGACTAATAGCATGACACCATGAGTTTGATACCAGTGCCCTATATAATTACAGGTAGTCCTTATTTATGACCTTCAACTTTATAAGCAATTTAAGAACATTTATGACCTTCATAGCATTCCTCGGTTATATGGTTGGCATTACAGTCACTACATATTTTATGCCTGACTTGTCAGGCTTTTTTCTTCCTTTGTTCAGAGTATAGAGATTGGAGAGGAAGGTATTGCAAGAGATTAAACTTCTCTTCTACACATCAAAAGCAATGTATTCATGCCTGGCCTGGGAGCAGCAGTTGCACTATGCCAATAGCTTTCAATACTGTCTTGAAGTTCCCTTCTCTCCATTCTTGAGGAGACAACAAGCTATTTCTGTTGACAATCTCTCCTTTGCCTGATTTTTCCTCCTCCCTATAGAGCAGAGAGATTGGAGAGAAAAGGATTAGAAGAGAGTAAGCTGTTTGCTCTTCTACACATTGAAAACAATGCAGTTGCACCATCAGCAGGAAAGAATCAGGGAAAGAAGAGATTGCTTAAAAAAACACTCCCCCACCCCCTTTCTCTGCATTGTGGAGAGGTTGGGGAAGAAAGTAAACTGTTTATGTAGCATTCCTACAGTTCCCAATACCAGGCTAAAGACAGAATCAAATAAATGGAGATGGGAAGAAACATACACTGTAACCAGTAAAGTTTTTCTGCTACTTTAAAGGTCATTGTGTCTGTATTTTCCTTATGTGACTCATTTTGGTTGAAAGTGATTTATATGTGTTAACTAATTGTTACCTGGCTGTTGATCAGAATTATATGTCTTCTCTGCTTTAGCTGCACCTATCTGGAAACCCCAGCTAGAAAGGTGGGAGGGTGTTAAGGGGTTTACAATAGGCTGTGAAGGGATGAGTGACTATAAGTGGAAGCTGGGCATGTTTGTAACAGGAGCTGGGAGTAAAGAAAATGAACGTGTCCAACACAGTTGAAGGGCACCCAGTGATGGACAGAGTTAGATAGCACTGAACTCATAGGAGGCATAATTAGTGTAGAACAGATTTATATTCTTTGCTGGGCATAAGTGGTATCACCCTTTGGTATGGCAGAAGAGGCAGAGCAAAAGGAGGCGAGTCCACATAAAATGATTTAAAAGAGGATGGGGTGTTTTTTTCTGAAATTCTTCTGTTGCTGGCTACTTTAGAAGCTGTAGGATATATACCAAAGCAGGAGAATGTTAAAAGAGGTGTCAGAACTGAAATAAAACAGCATGTTTATTTCAACTGCCCCCATTAATTACAGCATCAGGGGCTCCTCCATCTGCCAGGATGAGTTCCAGTAACGAAGAGATTGTTTTCATTGGGCAGTTTTATAGCCCTGCAACCTCTTTTTTCCCCTCCACCCCCAAAGTTCCTTAGTTTAGGCATCAGCAAAGGAAGGTTAGATATAAATGAGGATTAAGTGTCTAAGCAACAGATGTCTGCCGTATACATAAAGACAGCTTTTTAAATAAGGCAATTTTGTTTAAAGATGCAAATGCAGTCTTGTTGCAATTAAGAGGACACATAGGAAACACATCCGACCTCCCTTTTGAGTAGCAGCCAAAAAACTTCTCAGCATGCTACCTTAAACAGGTAATTCTGTTCTCCTTGCAAGGCATTATAATGTGTTGTTCATAGGCATTGTCCATATATACTGTTGCAGGTAGCAGAATAATAACCAAGTGATGAGGTCATATATGTAGTCATGGTAAACTTGTTGATGGGCTCTTTCAGATGCCAAAGTTCGGTGAATTACTGTATCACCACAGCTTGACATAGAGAAAAGGAAGCATGTGCATTTTCATTTGTGCCAGCATGAAGGCCTTGTGTCTAATGAAGACAATCATTCGCCACAAATACAGGAAACTCTCTCTTCGCTAAGACACGGGTAGTATTCCACTCAGTAAGGTCTAATATTTCTGAAGTTTTCATTTGTCTTGCTCTTCCCCTTACCTAGGCTTTTGATATGGCCAAAACCTCTCTCTCCCATTTTGTTGCATGCTCTGGGAGATAAAAGCAGTCCTGAGGCAAAACTTGGCCTGTTCACTGTATTCCTGATTGGATAAAATATTATACAATTCAAGGGCAAAGGATTTTATTTAGTTCCTAATAATTTAGTTCTATTTAGTTTCTAATAATTTCCCAAAACGAGAACTTCCAAAGCTGGGAAAAGGAAAATATACATTGACACAGGACATTCATTGCCTGGACTGCTTCCAAAGACAACTGTTAAAAAGACTTTTCTTTTGATTTCAGATAGGCTATACCTGTCCATGAAGGCACTGTCAAATGCTTCCTTTTTATTCAACAGATGTCATGCTGAAGGGCAAAGACCCCAACAGATATCTCCAAGGTCCAGCATAAATCTAAGGCAAGGCAGGAATGAGATTTCTGACAAAAAAAAAAAACCCTAAATAGGGCAAGGCAGAGTAGAAGTAGGAAAACAAAACCGTGTCTTCCTTTTTTCTCCAAATGATTTTTGAGACTAGCTAGATCTCCTTAAAAGGGGAAATCACCTTTTCCCAATAGCAGCAGCTGTAAGAAAGGATATGTGCAAGAAACACTTGTACTGCAGGAAATTCTTGCAATGCTGGCTAATTTGGAATTTTCAGGATGGATACTGAAACAGAAGGATGTGAAAAGAGATACAAGGACTATAATAAACAGCATTGTGTTTATTTAAATTGTTCCTATTAATTATTTACATCACCAGGGGCCCCTCCTCCATCTTTCACAGTGGTAAGGACTGTATGGTCTTTGCTTTTGTTGGGCAAGTTTTACAGCCCTGCAACCTTTTCTTTCCTCTGCCACCCCCAGAGCTACTTCAGCATCAGGAAAGGAAGGTCAGATATTAATGAGGATTAGTGGGTACTGAGAACCAGCTATGAC